TGTTTTTGAAAGAAGGCTCTTCTGCTCATCAAGGCTGGATTTGTTTGATCAAAAATACAGTAAAAATTGTAATATAGTATTATCATTTAAAATAACTGCTTTCTATGTGAATATATTGCAAATTGTAATTTATTCCTGTGATCAAAGCTGTATTTTCAGCATCATTACTCCAGTCTTCAGTGTCACATGATCTTCAGAAATCATTCTAATATGCTGATTTGCTGCTCAAGAAACATTTCGGATTATTATCAATGTTGAAAACAGTTGTGCTGCTTCATATTTTTGTGAAAACTGTGATACATTTTTTTCTTTAATGAATGGAAAGTTCAAAAGAACAGAATTTATTTGAAATAGAAATCTTTTGTAACATATTAAATGTCATTACTTATCAGTTTTGATCAATTTAATGCATCCTTGCTGAATAAAAGTATTACTTTATTCTCTCATTAATGTTCTGAACGCATGTTGAAATTGATTTTTTTTTTTTTTTTTTTGGTTTTGTTTTTTAAAAACTATAAGGGGGGGTTTGCTGGTATTAGTTAACATGACCTGAAGGCAAACATCCAATCAAGCATAATGAAGTTATGGAGAAATGGAAAAATGAGCAGTGTATTTACATGGACGATAAAAGGACAGATTCATTACAGCTAATCGGCGGTCTGTGATGTCCAAACCCAGCGCTGAGTGAACCACGAGACCTGAACGAGACTCGTCCTCCAGTACCTGCCATTAACACTTAATTTAATCAGGGAATGATTGCATCTGATTTGATAGAATGTGTTTGACACTCTCTAATAGCCTCCGTAATAAACACGAATAAACTTTACAGCACAAAGCAAATTGGGAAGAATGAACATGACAGTTATTTTAAGTAATGCAGCAGCAGCGTTTTTAAGGGAAAACAAATTAACATGAGACAATAATTGATTATCCAAAGTGTTTCCTTTCTTGACACCAGGTAGATGCTTTTATTTATTTAAGGCGAAATTATTACCCTTTAGTAATAGAGTAACCAAAGTTAAAGAGATATAATTATTTAAAAAAATGATATATATATATATAGTAGTGTTGTCAAAATTAGCGCGTTAACGCAGATGATTAATTTTTTCAGTTTAACGCGTTAAAAATATTTAACGCAATTAACACAGGGCTAGGGTTGGCCACTCCACTCACAACTGCTGCGTCTGTCACTTTTTCTTTTGACAAGTGCATTTATTCAGTCGCAGAACGACTGAGAACGGGAGACGTTTCAGGCGCGCGCTCCACTTCACTTCAATGCCAGGCGCGAGTCAAAGCGAGCACGGAAACAGTACTGTGCTCGCAGAGCGTGCTCTTCAATTGCACGCACAAAGGCGCCGGCGCGCTCTGTAGCCTTTATTCTTTCATATCAAAGCGTGAAATAAACTACGTACATGCAATGCATGCAGCAGTGGCAGCTCTTAAAGAAATAACTGCCAAAACAACCTAATAACCAGCTGCTGTGATGTCTGTTAATCAAAGGACAAAGAAAAAAGAGGGAAAAAATTACTTTTATAGCTTTAAGGATTCAGCTATATTTAATTTATAATTTAGTGTTTGATAACTTCAATTTCAATTTGTGTATATTTCTGCTGAAGGGCACAGGTAAATATGACATTTATTATAATGGGTTTATGTGAAGATTGTTTTAAGTTCACTTAAATTAGGTTATTTTTAAAGTCTATTAATGTTAAAATTGGTAGCTCTCAATTATACTGTAATGTTGAATGGATATAATGATTAAATGTTGGGGGTGGGGGGGGGGGATGTTCAAGAAAATACCACAAGACTCATCAGAAAGTGCTTCATATTGCAACAGGACAATGACCCAAAACACCCTGCTAGTTCAGTCAAGGAGTTTATCAGGGCAAAGAAATGGAAGGTCTTAGATTGTCTCCAGATTTAAATCCTATTGAACATGAATTTTGCCAGCTAAAGAGGAGACTAAAGGCAGAAACTCCCCAAAACAATCAACAGTTGAAATGAGCTGTATTAAAGGCTGGGGAAAGCATTTCAATGGATGAAAGCAAGAGTCTGGTGATGTCTGTGGGTGACAGACTCAATGCTGTGATTGCACGCAAGGGATTCGCAACTAAATATTAGCTTTTAAACTTTTACATTTGCTTTAAATTCAATTGTCCCAATGCTTATACTCAGATCAAATTAGAGAATGAAACTCTAAAAGTGCTGTCCTTTTTATTTGGTAAAACATGAATGTGTTGAAACAGCTAATAATAAAATGTGACATATATTAATTTCATAATTTCTCTTTTGTTGATTTTGATTGCTTCCATTGTCCTCATTTGTAGTTCGCTTGGGATAAAAGCGTCTGCTAAATGTCTAAATGTAAATGTAAATATATATATATATATATATAAATTATTTATTATTTTTATTATTTATTTTTGGGAGTGTTGTATGATATATGATATACTATACAATATTTACTCCAAGAATACCATGTTATTGTCATGGTACCATATGGTACACATAGTATAAATGCTATGGTACGTACTTTTCGGTATCATATACATCATATCATATATAAAGTACAGTTTTTTACCAAAAAAAGTACTGTGGTGGTACTATGGTACATTGGTGGTATAAGGTAATTCTATGGTACTTTAAAATATACCTTGGTACTGAAATTCATGGTACTGCCATCATGGTATATTTGCAAAGAATACCATGGTATTTGGAGTTTCATGTGAATAGCATGGGACATGAATTTCAGTTTAATGCTAAAACAACAACAACAAAAATGGTACAGTGATGACATCAGATGGTAATGCTATGGTACTTTAAAATATACCATGGTACTGAAATCTGCTTCCTAGAATATCATGGCATTATTGATGCACATGTCCAAAAAAACCACAGTATAGCTATGGCACCATGTGAGAAATCAAACAAACAAATAAATAAATATGTTGTATATGTGCAAAAACAAATCCTTTTTATACTGTATTATTGGTTTCTTTCTCTGGGAGTTAAGCAGAAGGCACATGCAATGTGTCTCAGCTCCTGCTTCAGTTTAATCCAGATGCATCCAGACATCATTCAGACACACAAACACACTTTAATATCTACAGCGACTTCCATAATGTGATTTCTGCCGTCTCGCAAATGCATCTAGTTTGCAGAGTTTCACTCCGAGCGTCTGATTGAGGAGCATCGCTGGTTGCGTTAGAGAATAAAGCCTGAAGGGTTTGATCATTAGAACTTAAAAGAAAGCGATAAAGGAGTTGATGCGCTGATTTAAGCCGTTGTCTTTGTGTAAAAGGAGTTATACTACTCTTAAAAGCAGTGTCCCAAGTGACTGATGCAATATCCATTGTGCTTTTGTAACAAAGCGCGCACGTGCATGCGCTCTGCAGCTTTAAAGTCTCGCAGACTGTTTTTAACATCCTGATTTATTAAATACACCGCTCTTTTGTTGCTCTCTTGCCCTTGCGGCCTCCCCGTCCGACCTCGAAGTAGAGGGATGGAAAGTCTGACTGGCAATATCTCCAGTCCAAGCAAGCCGGGAACCAGAGTGGATCTGTCTCGGCTTGAGAAGCGAGAGTGGATCAGGACCCCTGTCGTGCCCAGAGAGCGCAGGATGAAAGCCGCCACGGGTCGAAGTGGAAAAAGAAGCGATTTCCCTCGTCTTTTGGAGTTGTGAAAGACTCCGGCGTGTGTAGCTCCCCTCCCCGCGTCAGCCGTGCTCCCATGAGCCTCCTCTCTCACCGCACGCCAGCTCAGGGAGTCACCTCCTTTGCCAGGTACACAACAGGAGCACGGCTCCTCTCTGAGCCGCGCCGTGCTGAACTTTTTCAGGGGAAGAAAGGGAAGACGGAAGATTAAAAACAGCCCTGTGATGTGAAGAGCCGAGTCGCCTCCTGAGGATTCCTGGCATAATAATTTAAATGATCAAATGATCCAGAGGAGACTTGTTAGCGCAGAAACAGCCTCCTAGTTGGCCCCATGGGCCCCTCACTGAGACACATGCATTGCAAAACAGCTCCTCTGTTGTGCTAAAGAATCTCACCTTTATATATATATATATATATATATATATATATAATATTTCTTTTTTGGGTGACTTTTTATCCTTTTCTACTTTGTTAGATTTGTCTAGATAAGTATTTGGAAACAAGTTAAGCAGCTGAGGTTGGTGGTTTTTAGCGATATGGAGGGAATATTTTGATTCATTCTGATGTGGGAAATTATGTTTTGGTAAGACTTTACAATAAGCTTCCAGTTGTTTACATGAACTAACAATGAAAAGTGTTTATTATTCTTAGTTTATGTTATTTTCAACTCTTACTAATACACTATTAAAATGTTAATATTATTTAATGGACCTTAGTTACCATGAACATTTTAAAAAAAAAATTATAAAAAATGCTGTATAAAAAATGAATTTCTCATTAGTTAATGTATTTAATTATTGTTTAGCTGCTGGGTTCTTTTTGTAAAGTGTTACCAATGTTATTAAAGGGGTCATATGATGCTGCTAAAAAGAACATTATTTTGTGTATTTGGTGTAATGAAATGTGTTTGTACGGTTTAAGCTTCAAAAAACACATTATTTTCCACATACTGTACATTATTGTTTCTCCTCTATGCCCCGCCTTTTTGAAACGCGTTGATTTTTACAAAGCTCATCGGTCTGAAAAGCGAGGTGTGCTCTGATTGGCCAGCTATCCAGTGCGTTGTGATTGGCCGAATACCTCAAGCGTGTGACGGAAATGTTACGCCCCTCACCATACTGTGATGCCGTGTCCCGGCAGGAGCGACGAGACAAAAACATTAAAACCCATTATAAACGAGTTCATTATAAAAAAGTTCAACACAGCATCTAACCTAAGGTCTAATGACAGCCTACAACTGACCTTTTTTTGCCCACAAATAATTTCACCGGATTTTCTCAAATGTGACTGTGCACTAAAGTAGCTTTGCATCTGTGTGTGTGTGTGTGTGTGTGTGTGTGTGTGCAGATCCGGCTCCGCTGCTGCAGGCCACACAGGAGCGTCTGGCAGAACTTCAGCGTTCGGCTCCTGACGGTGACCCTCTAGTCACAGAAATCTCTGAGCATTGGAGAAAACACCTGGAGTGCCTTGACAAAGCAGGTCAGAGTCTAAAACACACGTTAAACTATAACATACAGTATGCTCTTTCACACACACACCAAAAAAATGGTTTAGAATGTCGTGTCTTCTTCGCTTAACAAGCAATAATGAACTCTGACGACTTGAATTAAAACAAAAGAACTGATTTACTGTAGTTTCAGGTAGTTTTACAGGGATTAATTCACTTTAGCAGCATACACACATACTCAGTCCACTTCTTCTCAGCGTGCTCTCTATCTGAATAGCATTATGGCCGATGTTTTCTTAAAGGGTAACAGCCCAATAAATTACTATATATACGGTTTCTGTTCTTATTATTGAAAACAATGAATTAAACATTATACTAAGCATTTATGACTCATATTAATCTAATTTAAGTTACAACATAGAAACAATTTTAACTCGCATGGTAAATATTACAAATAAATACAAAGAAACAGCAAGTAACACATTGAATTATACTTTACATTTTTAAATTACAAAGCCTAAAATAGTATTTTCTTGTAAAACATACTCCAATAATCCAATAATTATTTTAAAACTTAGAAAAAATATTTTTATAGTGTTACTGGAGACTTTTGATTGACTTCTGATATAAATCAAATCAATCAGACTAACCATAACCCACAACCCAACCCTAAACAAAAAAACTTGCATTTTTAGGATAAAATACATATTTAATTCAATTATGAATCATTTTTCACTTTAAATCTGCTCTCAAAAATAGTTTTTTTTAATCCACCAAAATAGCAACAAAAAAATTATATATATATATATATATATATATATACTGTATATACATATTAAAATGAGTCTGTCACTGTAATATGCTGATTTGCTGCTCAAGAAACATTTCTTATTATTATCAGTGTTGAAAACAGTTGTGCTGCTTCATATTTTTGTTGAAACCGTGACACATTTTTTTGGGATTGTTTGATGAAAATTCGAAATAACTGTATTTATTTGAAATATAAAGATTTCGTAATATTACAAATGTCTTTACAGTCATGTTTGATCAATTTAATGCATCCTTGCTGAATAAATTAATTTCTTTCAAGAAAAATGTCAAATGTGAACATCTTATCTGAACACTGTTAGGTTGCACTTGTTATTCCAAAGAGAGATTAGACTGGTTACAATGTAATTAATTGTGTTTAGAACACACAGGGGAGGGGCCTGTAACCGTGGAGACGGGGGAGGCGTCGTCACAGCGGCCCCACATGATGACACCAAACAGCACACAGAATGTCCAGGATGGAGACGCCCCACTCCAAAATCACCAGGACCCACAGGAAGGGTACGTGACCCACAGAAGATCTGACACAAAACATACTGCATACTATATGCTCTATGTCTGTATATCTGTCTAGTTCAGTAAATGCTGTTCATTTGGCATATCAGCAATAATTATTTCTATTTAAAAAATTTATATAAAAAAAGTTAATTAAATTATAATTTGTAATCAAATTTTGTGTACAAATGTTAAGAATTGTGACTGATATGCACATAACCGAGTGCATTGTCTTATGGAATATTGCATCTAAAATTATGAAGAAAAAAAAGTTTAAAATAATATACAGGTCTATCTCAATAAATTAGAATGTCGTGGAAAAGTTCATTTATTTCAGTAATTCAACTCAAATTGTTGTACAGTGTTAAACAGAATGTTCACATTATTAACTTACTGAATTCATAAATGACTCACTGAAGGCTTTACTTTTGTGTCCAACTAAAAATAGTGCAGGAAATGTTACTCTTCGTATGTTTAAGATTTGTGAGAATTAAGAGAGTTTAATTACACATATATATATATATATATATACACATATAAATGTTTTTATATACATTTTTAGAAATATATACATTTTAAATTAAAAATGAAATAAAAACATTTGCATATAGGTATGTAATCTAATATTATATAATACATATATAAGTATAATATTTTACATATATGTACATTATATAATATAGAGTCATTTTGTCATTTTTAGTCATTTTGTTGTGTGTTTTTGTTATTTTTACAGTTATTTTTCCTTTTTTATTTCAGTTTTAGTTATTTTAATGCACCAAGTTAAAATAAATGAAAATGATCAATATTGCCTTTGGCAAATTGCAACTAGCTGAGATCTGTTTTGTTTTGTTTTGTTTGTTTGGTTTGGTTTGGTTTGGTTTGGTTTTGTTTTCTTTTGTTTTGTTTTGTTTTGTTTGGTTTTGTTTTGTTTGGTTTGGTTTGGTTTGGTTTGGTTTGGTTTGGTTTGGTTTGGTTTTGTTTTGTTTTGTTTTGTTTTGTTTTGTTTTGTTTGGTTTGGTTTGGTTTGGTTTGGTTTGGTTTGGTTTGGTTTGGTTTGGTTTGGTTTGGTTTGGTTTTGTTCAGTTATTTTTCCTTTTTTATTTCAGTTTTAGTTATTTTAATGCACCAAGTTAAAATAAATTAAAATGATAAATATTGCCTTTGGCAAATTGCAACTAGCTGAGATCTGTTTTGTTTTGTTTTGTTTTGTTTTGTTTTGTTTGGTTTGGTTTGGTTTGGTTTTGTTGTGTTTTGTTGTGTTTTTTTGTGTGTGTTTTGTTTTGTTTTGTTCTGTTCTGTTCTGTTTTGTTTTGTTGTGTTTTTTTTGTGTGTTTTGTTTTGTTTTGTTTTGTTTTGTTTTGTTGTGTTGTGGTTTGGTTTATTTATTTTTTATTCATCAACCCTGCATCAAGATTATGTTAACTAGTTAATAGCTATGCTAGTTAACATAAGCAAACTTAATATAGTTAACTACTTGTCTAAATGCTAGAATTATTGTTATTTATTCCTGTGTATCGTGTCTCTTGGCAAACTCATTTCAGAACAAGTTCCCAACTAAACATGACACTGTGCATTTTATCAGCAGCATGAATCTGTGTGTAATTGCTTGTGAGCGTTAAACATGATGGCGGTTTGATGTTTAACGTGTGGTTTGTGTCTTCCAGAGTGGAGGAGATGGGTGCGCTAATGGCGAACCTGGAGAAGGCCAACCAGGTGAGTGCGGTGCCCTCCTCTCAGCCTCTGATTGAGACGCCGCGTTGTGAAGATAATCACCTTCGTAATCAAGCTTTGAGTTTAATTAGACGCCCCTGCAGCCCCTCTTCCTCCCCCACCACCCTCCTCGTCCTCGCTCTCGCAGGCCCGTGATTAGCCGGCACTCTTTCCCATGGTGCCGTGCGAGCGGCGGAGGACAGGAGAGAGAGATGGATGCTGAGAGACGAGAGCGATGTGGCGAACGAGGAGGGCTGTTAGTTTCCTCATTGCGCTGATTGCTTGCTTTTTTTTCCATGGTGATTTGCTTTTTCTCCCTTCGCCAGCAGCTCTTAGATAAATGATTCGAAAATGAGTCATTAATTAGCAGGCCGAGTGTGACAGAGCAGGTAAACAGTTTGAGAAGAAAGTGCCTGCAAGTAAGCACGCGCCTCAGCAGAACGCTGTTTTACCTGCAGCACCTGTAAATCTCCTCTGATTGGGGTTTCGAGGGCGTTCTTGCTCCGTTCGGCCTGATTTTTCATTTGATTCTGGATCTCTGGGAATGTTTAGCCCTGATTTGTATTGATGCTCAAACTGCAGTATTTTACTGCAAGCCATCCTAAACCTAAAGAGTCTGCAATAAAAGTGGCTGAAAAAAAATATTTACAGCACCTGGGTTGTTATAGTTAACTAAAACTTCATCCCATAAAAAAATAATATATATTTTTTTTGTTATTTGAAATAAATGTTAACTGAAATAAAATACAATAAAATATTTATTATTTATTACTTTTTATTAACTTATTTTGTGTTAACTAGTTTAACTTGATACTTGTACTAAAATAACTAAAACAAAAACTGAAACAAAAATTTATAGAAAAAACCTATATAGACAAAAAAAAAAGACAAAAATAGACCACAGTATTACTAAAACTTTAACTCAAATTTAAATGAAATATAAAATATATAAAAAATAAATAATCTGCAATAAAAGTGGCTTAAAAACACTTATGACACCAGGGTTTTTATAGTTAACTAAAACTACAAACATTAAAAAAATTATTAAAAGTTATTTGGAATAAAATAAATATTAACTGAAATAAAGGCAATTATTTCAAAAACTTATTTTAGCTAGTTTCTAATTTTAATTTAGTTTAATTGAAGTATGAAAAGAACTAAATCAAAAACTGAAAAGAAAAAAAACGAATAAAAATGACGAAATCAAACCACTAAATAACTAACTAACAAAAAAAAACAAACAAAAAACAATACAGTCTGCAATAAAAGTGGCCGAAAAAGACCCTTATGGCACCAGGGTTACTATAGTTTTATTAAATTAATAAACCTACAACCATAAAAAATTAACATTTTCTGTTATTTGAAATAAAACAAATGTCAATAAAATAATATATTTAACAACTTATTTATTTCAGCTAGTTTCTCGTAGTTTAACTTGCTATACTAAAATAACTCAAATATATGTTTTTTTTATATTTCTTAGTAAGATAATATTTAAATGCTTACATTTATGATCAAAGCTCTGTAGTTTCAAAACATATAATGCAATGCAATACACTGATGACTGAGAGATGAACAAATAAACATTCCTCAAAAGCCTAATGATCATATTTAATACTCACATTTGAACATGATTTTTCTAATAAACGATGTATGGCTAATCAAGTCAAGCTAAGTTGTTTCAGTTCAGTATGTGTTCATCTTGAAATATGACTACCAATATCAAAGTTATTCTTATGCTTATAAAAAATCAGTAAAGATTTGACAGCAAAAAGAGACGTGAAGCACGAGCTGAAGGAGGACGTTTGTACAATTATACCAAAAGACCTTTGATAAACTTTGATACCAAAAGACCCAACTTGATAAAAAATCTATTAAACAGATTGTGTCCAACAGGTATATCATCTGTTCCAAATCGGACTATTATTTTAAATGCTTTAAGTGTGGCGCAAGTGTCTAAATATTTTTGGGGTCACTGCACGCACAAGCGGGATGCTCAGCTCCTCTGAAGTTTTCCAAACTTGTGTGTTTGATGGCAGAGAGAGATTTAGACGTTGTCTGGTTAAGTTTGCAACTGTTGTCTTTCTGGACTGTAATAATTTATAGATGACCCATAATTAACATCTTGTGTCTTCACAGACCCTGGAGGCCAAGCTACAGTCTCAGATGGATTATGAAGAGATCAAAACTGAACTCAGGTGAGGTTTTGCAGGAACACATGCTATAAAGATGATGTTGATGTTAACGTATCGTTGTGTCTCCTGCAGCATCCTGAAAGCCATGAAACTGGCATCAGCCAACGGAAGTTCATCCCAGGTGAGTGAAGCAAGTGTTCTTCCTGCAGAGCTGTAGGGTTGTTTAACAGTCCTGCGTTATATTGACATACGGTTACGGACCCTCTCAAATAAAAGACAAATAAAGTTCTCCACAAAAAACAGTTGCCTGCATCTGTCAATGAGGAAACGCCACATCGATCCGTGTGAACGCCTCACTAGCGTCATCCATAATGTAGATCTGCATCGATCATGAGAGTATAACTGCCCCTGTGTGTGTGTGTGTGTGTGTGTGTGTGTGTCTGTGTGTGTCTGTGTGTGTGTGTGTGTGTCTGTG